GTTCCCGCTCACTGGCTGAGCGAGGCGCGGGAGCAACACCGAGGGTTGCGATCCCGTTGCCGGTCCCCGGTCCGGTGCGGGGGCAACACTGAGGGTTGCGATCCATTGCCGGACACGGAAAAAAAAAAAAAAAAAAAAAAAAAAAAAAAAAAAAACATAAATTCAATTATATAACTTCTCTGCTTAAAATCCTTCAATGGATTCCTGTTGTGCTCGGAATAAAATCCAAACTCCTCCCAGCCCCTCCCTAACCTGCCCCTGCCCACCTCTCCAACCTCGTGCGCTGTGCCCCAGCACTCTGACTCTTCCGCTCTTATGCACCAAGCCCAGTCCTGCCACAGGGCCTTTTATACTCTATGCCCTTTGCAGAGAATACTTACATATTCCAAACATCCTTCAAATAATTATATACAGTCTCATCAAAAAGGCCCTCCCTGACCTGCATATCGTAAATGATGTCCTGTTGTCTATCATTTCACAATTTTATTCTCTTTGTGTTGCTAATTGCAATTATGTATATGGTTTGTTCATTTGCTTTTGTATCTTCTTCACTAGATTATTAGCTTCATGAGGACAAGAACTACGTCTGTTTGCTCTTTTTATTATCAAAGGATGTATTCATTTATTTAATAAATGCCTGTTGGTAATGATGTCCCCCTACAGTGTTTGGGGTGGCCAACACCCTACCTCAGTATAGATCCAATCCAAGCTAAAGGAAAGCTGCACTTGCCATGGTTTGATGAAGCCTCTGGATAGTCGGACATGACTATGGGGGTTAGTGGGCTCTGGTGTAGTAGAAAGCACCATTACTAGGAGTTGTCTCTCATGCAGTGGTGGGTACTTAGGCATGGTTTTGAGATGGATGGGTGAACGGGGGGAACAAGTGTGCTCTGCTCGCCATTGAAGGCAGGGTTAAATGCAGGTAAATGGACTTTGACAACTGAGGTGCTGTCTTTGAACATTGAGAATTACTGTTTATTCTTGGAGGTGTAAGTGTATGGAAGAGGGTGTGTGTTTGTGAGTTTCTGTGTGTGTGTGTGTGTGTGTGCATGCAAAGACACATGTTTGATTATAAGAGCCACTTGCTGGATAACTGGGAAGCAAGAGCAGCACAAGTGTCCTCTCACTGATGGAGAGATGCAGGAGAAGCTGGCCTGGGAGGCCCGAGCTTCCCTTGGGTTATAGGCTTCCCTCCCACATGCACCCGTACCCACCACATCCTCCATGCGCAGCCTAGGAGTGTTCTCTCCTGAAGAGCTCAGCCCCTCTGAATGTTAGGTCCTGTGTGTTGGACTGATGGAGATGGGTCCTGGGGGACTTTCCAGTGGAGACTGGGAGAGTGAGCTCTGGCATTTGTTTGAAGTGAGAGTCTCTTTTGGAGGGGATGGCAGACCTCAAGCCAGGTCAGCAAGTCTAGAAACTGGCTCTTCTCCTTGAGAATGTTCAATTTTCTAGTTGTGCTGTTGCTTACCTTTGTACACAGTGTACAATGTTTCCTCTCGTCTTATAAATCCTGTCCGTTACCCCCGGTCCTCTAATCTAGCCTGTTATATGCGCTTGACCTTGTGAAAGTGGAGTTGTGGGGAATTAAGAGACGTGACAGGAAAGAGATGTGACGTATTCTTGTCCTTCTCCCACCAAGTCCATTACAATAGCAGCAGTTTCCCACTGAGGAGCAGGGGGTCTGGAGCTCAGGCTCCCGTGTTACCAAACCAAATGGAGTTCGTTTGTCCATGCCCAACAGGAAGCCAAACACTGAAGCACAGGTCTTTGCAGCAGAGAAAAAGGTATATTCTCAAGGTGGCCAAGTGAGAAGACAGGAAATATACGTATATCTCAAACCCATCTTGTCCATAGCAAGAAAGGGGGTATATTTATGGAGAAGCGGGTAGGGTGTTACAAGGCGTGGGGATTGCGAGTGGTTAAAAGGTTTGAGGGAGTTCCCCCATGATCTGCACAGGCATGAGCCTTCTGCATGCCTCTGCATGTTCCGAAAAATGATGGCATTAGCAGGATCTGGGGGTGAAGATGTCAGCCTTCTGATATTAAAAATGACCCATCAGACATTTGCACTGGTTCAGTGGAGAGGTCTGTAAGCTGGACCAGCCTAGCCCAGTTTGTGTCGGGACAAGCTAACTCCAATGATCTTGAAAAACACCTTAGACACACAGAGGTGTCATCTTAAAAAGGTGGATAGAGGGCTGGCCCGGTGGCGCACTGGAGAGTG